CGAAGTTTCTCGGTGGATTTTTTGAATCGTTTGAGTTTGTTTGTAAGAAATATTTAGGAAGAGGAAAAGAATGTTTTAAATTCTGCTATTAAAGTGAATCTGGTGGAAATTTCTACTCCCGTTGAAATTATTGAACCGATAAAATGCGGGAAAGCGGATTTTCTAAATATCTTTAGATATGATCTATTGTGTCGTTTGACATTTTATCCGTAGGAAACGAGTAATTATTCGAAACGTGTATAATTTCTTTTTATAAGAATATTCACCTTGAACCCAACTCGTAAGAATATTTAAAGAGAGAAAGAGTTATCGAGTTAATCGTTTCGATGTTAAATCTTTAATCGATCGATCTCTCGTAACGAGAATAACATTTTGAAAAATCCCTAGGATTTGTTCTCTAATTTTAAAATAAAATTATCCAATAAAGGAAAATAGTTCGCTTTAAACAAAGTAATAAATAAAATTACTTTTTTCTTCAGATAATTAACAAGCTTTTAAATCGAAATCTCGCGACATAATTGTAATTTTATTAGCAAATATTAATAAAACGGGGAACATTATTTTTCTTTTTATCCGTTCTACTCGAATAAATCATCTTGATTATTTATTCTTTGATCGAGTCGTACAAATGTGCGTAATAATACTAGGCATAAATTCCACGAAAGGAATGTTCTCAATTGTTGACAGTTTTTAACGATAACTTTAAAAAAATCTCTATTCCTCGAACATTGTTGATGTTTCTTTCCTTTCGACACATCTGTTCGATATATTTGTACGACATTATATCGTTTGCAAACGTCGTCAACTAAGCGTCTCACGTCCAAAATATTTATCCTGCTGTCGTTGCCATTCATCGTCAAACTTCCATTCAGGTAACACTTTCCATAGATTACGATAATTGTCCAACGTGATAACGAGTGGTATAATGGCCGCAATTTGCGTATATATCGTTGTTTCAAAAATTTCCAAACATAAATAGCTCTTTCTAATCACAAATGCAAATATGCAAATACTCATCGTGTCCCATTATTATTGTACGATATTTATTTTTATTTTATAACTTCTTTTTTTTTTTTTCTTTCCTTAACATCCATGATTTTTCAATTTATTTTTCGATAAAAAACGAATTACAATTTTTCACCGATTTTTCGAAGCAATTTCCTTTTTCCAAAAGAAAGAATATTATAATTTAATTAATTAACAAAATTAATATAATAAAAATAAAACTTTTCACGATATCTCTATCGTTTGTATCTGAATGTTTCTAAAATTATAAAATTAAATGTTTAAATGTATTCGTATCTTTTTTTCTTTTTTTCTTTTTTTCTAAATTTTACGAACAATTACGAAATAATTTTTCGCGGAGAAAAGACATCGATTTCTTCGAAATTAGCGATAATAATTTAATCGGCGTCACAATTATTCAGATAATGGCGAAATATTGTTTCGAGGTCATGAATCGTTCTCTCATGGTCGGCGTTCACCGGTCTAATCAGCGGTACGTGTTGATAGCGGACAAAATTCTATCGAGCTTGTTGTAATAGGATGCCATTCGCGGTGACGAGTTGCGGGAAGTTATGAAACACGTGTACACAGCCGAAGTAGGCGGTTACTCTTCGTTGCTGGAATTCGTACGCTCGATGTATGTATTCTGCCGACTGTTCACAAATTCAATTGTGACGTACGTGGGGAACAAACAACGGCTCGACGATAAGAAATCTCGAATTATGTTCCTGTGATACGTGTATTAGAATATTACGTAATAGTGAGCGATATTCGATAGCCGATTCTTCAATGAATAATACTGAAATTGCGCGAAGTCGATAGACCGATTGAAAATTCGACGGGTCGAATTTCTTTTTCTCTTCGTATAAAATATCCTTCCAACTCGAAACACTCGGTCTCGTTTACGTGTGTAAATGTTGATCATTGCATACACGCAAATCTTAATCTCCTCTTCATTATCTCTCATTCACCATAATCAATTCACGAAATAATCTAAACGCACCATTTTGAAGAAGAAATTCCAAAACTCGAAAAATTCTTCCTCTTCATTATCTCTTATTCACTATAATCAATTCACCCCTCCTCGAAATAATCTAAACGCACACCATTTTGAAGAAGAAATTCCAAAACTCGAAAAATCCTTCCAATATTTCTCCACTTCCCTAAACAAACCAGTCGGTTTAATCCCCCCCCCCCC